TGGAATCAACAAAGATTTAAATATTGTTGCTTGCCAAACTGTATCTTGTTGAAGATCACAAATGAAGTTTGCCTGCTCAAGATTTACTGGCACCCAGAAAATTGACCCAAAGAGATTTGGCATTTAATTCATTGACTGAATTTCAATATGATGCCAAATAATGTATTTTGGGACAAAGATTTCCCAAAGATAACTGTTGAAAATATAGCAGTGTATTTGATATTCACATGTTAAACAACAGCTCTCTTTTCTTAGTACTGTCATGTTCAGTTTTGATTGTTTCAATACATCTGTAAGTTGTTATTTTATTTTCTAGACATGAATGAATGCTTTCAATGTCCAGAAGATCAGTACCCAAATAAGAAGCAGGATTTCTGTCTCCCAAAAGTTGTAACATTTTTGAAGTATGAAGAAACTTTGGGAACTATATTGGCTAGTTCTGCTATTTTCTTTACTTTGGTCACAGCTGCAATCATCTTGATCTTTACTAAGCATCAAGACACTCCCATAGTCAAAGCCAACAACCAGAATCTCACCTATGCTCTCCTTGTTAGTCTCATGTTATCTTTTCTTTGTTCTTTGTTATTCCTAGGAAAACCTGACAAGGTAACATGTCTCCTTCGTCAAACAGCTTTTGGGATGATCTTTTCCATGGCCATTTCTTGTGTGTTGGCTAAAACTATCATTGTGATTCTGGCTTTCATGGCCACTAAGCCTGGGTCCATGATGAGCAGATGGATTGGGAAAAGACTTGTCATTTTCATAATTTTGGGCTGTTGTTGTATTCAAGGTATTATTTCCATTACATGGGTGATAACCTCACCTCCATTCCCAGATGCTGACATGAATTCAATGGTAGAAGAAGTCATTCTAGAATGTAATGAAGGATCTGTCTTCATGTTCTACTGTATCTTGGGCTATATGGGTCTCCTTGCTATTATCAGCTTTACAGTGGCTTTCCTAGCCAGGAATTTGCCTGATGTTTTCAATGAAGCCAAGTTTATCACCTTCAGCATGTTGGTCTTTTGCAGTGTTTGGTTGTCTTTTGTTCCAACATATCTGAGCACCAAGGGGAAATATACTGTTGCTGTGGAGATCTTCTCCATTATATCTTCCAGTGTTGGGTTACTGACTTGTATCTTTTTTCCTAAATGTTACATCATTGTGCTGAGGCCTGATCTGAACAACAAAGAACAGCTAAGAACACAAACCCACAGAAAACCATAACACTATGTATGGCTATCTAGGGGAAAAAAGAAAAATAATATTATGGCTCAATTTCACTTATCTAGAAGTAAGCTCTTTTGCATCCATTTGCATCCTTTTCATTTATAGTTTATAGTCAATTTATAGATAAAGTATTAGTTGTGAAAAGTTCTTCTGTTCTAGCTTCTGTGTTTTCCTCCCCCAACGCTGTATCATGTTGGTAAAAAAAAAAATCAAGCAAAACTTGATGAAATAATTGAAGTCTAGCTAAATTAGATAAGTCTGGGCCTCATTTCAATTTAGAAACAAAAAGCTGCTTTGGAGGACTTTCAAAACACCATATTCTCAGCATATAAACTCTTAAAGGCTTCTCAAATATCTTAGAACTGGCTATCCCAGAATGTTAATTAGAAAATCTTAAAAGGCTTAAAATAACTAAGTCAACCACACTCTAATATCAGATCTCAATTCAAAAGTCTTATGTTATAAGCTTCCAGAATCATTGGATATGAGACAGGCAAGGAAGGAAGGAAGGAAGGAAGGAAGGAAGGAAGGAAGGAAGGAAGGAAGGAAGGAAGGAAGGAAGGAAGGAAGGAAGGAAGGAAGGAAGGAAGGAAGGAAGGAAGGAAGGAAGGAAGAAGAAAGGAAGAAAAAAGAAAAGAAAAAAGAAAGAAAAAGAAAGAAAGAAATTGCATGCCATAAAAATAAAAAGAGAGGCTTACAATCCTGCCACTTAGCAGACCTGAAAACAAAAGATGAATATCTGATCAATCTATTTCTCTCTAGGATGGACAGGAGGATTCAACTAATGCATATCAGTTCACTATCATTGTTTAGCAGAAAGGCAGAAATGTATGGAAAGGGAAACATCTCTGTTTAATGACAATGCCTTCACAATAAATAAGATAGGAATTTTATTAGCGATTGCATCCAGATCAACCTGGGGGTCTTATAGTGCTAGATATGGTCTTTTCTTTTTTAAAAAAAACAAACTTTATTGATTATAGAACTAAAATATCAAACAAACACATACAAAACACACAGGAAAAAAAAAGGAAAAAAGAAAATGATTAAAAACTAACAATTCTACTATCGACACTCTATGGTTCCTTGTTTGTTATCAATATTAGTGATGTATTTACAAATACAACTTATTGTGAATATATAATTACTGTCTCTTTTACATTTTACGTTGTTTACTAATATATTTTCTATTTTTGTTCTATCCAGTCATACCAGCATTCCCAGCTTCTATAATATTCTGATATTTCTTTTTCCTTAAGTGCTAAGGTTAACTTATACATCTCTGCACAGGCTGTTATCTTCTGAATTACCATTTCCTCTGCTGGAATATCTGCTTGTTTCCAACACTGTGCAAAGGTTATTCTGGCTGCAGTAAGAATGGGCAGTATTATATGTTTGACTTTTTTAGAAATTTGACTATTAAATATCCCCAATAGGAAGAATTCTGGTTTTAATTCAATTTGCTCCGCCGTTATTTCCTCTAACAATTTTTTTATTCTATGCCAGTATCTTTGGGCTTCAGTGCAGGACCACCACATGTGAAAGAATGTTCCCTGTTTCTTTTTACATTGCCAGCAATTCGGATTCATGTTAGGAGACATTTTCGCTATTCTCAAGGGCGAGAGATGCCATCTATAAAACATTTTATAGGCATTTTCTTTACATGTTGTTGATTTTGTAATTTTATTATTCCTTGTCCAGACCTTTTCCCATTCTAATAATGTAATGCTACATCCTATGTTTCTGCTCCAAGCTATCATGTTGCCTTTGACTACTTCCTCTTCTAATTCCATCTCTAATAAATAATTATAAAATTTAGTTATATTTTTTTTTATCTGGACCTAATAGGATTTTATCTAATTGTTGTGCCTTAGTATAAATTCCAAAAATTTTCTTCTCCTGGCTATATGTATTTTGAATTTGCAAATAAGCCCACCGGTCTACTTGTAGCCCTTGTTCTTGGAGATCTTGCCATGATTTTCAAGTTCCTTGTGCATCAAGAAGTTCTTTGTATTTTATCATTTTATTAAGATCAAGATTATTTGGATGTATCATCACCTCCATCGTTGAGATCCAGATTGGGATTTTTAAATATTTTTTTTTATTTTGTTCCAATTAGCCAATAAGGAATCTCTAATTATATGTCTGTGGAAATACTTCTGCTTCATTTTTCCAGTGTCCCATAAAAATGCGTGCCATCTCCTCTGTAAATCATGGCCTTCTAAAAATAAGATCCTTTTATTCAACAGATTTACCCACTCTTTCAACCAAAGTAAGGAGGCTGCACTATATTATAATTCCCAATTTGGGAGTGTCATACCTCCCCTGCTCTTCATATCTTGCATTGCCTTTAGGTTTACCCTCGGTTTTTTCCCTTGCCAAATAAATTTGGTAATTATCTTGTTAAGTTCCACAAAGTAATTTTTATGCATTTTTATTGGTGTTGTTTGGAATAAGTAAATAAATTTGGGCAGAATGTTCATTTTTATAGTGGCAATCCTCCCTAATAAGGAGATTTGCAACTTAAATCTTTTTTGGCTTGCTGTAATAATTTATTATAATTATTTTCCATTAGAGTTTTGCATTGAGCCGTCAACCAAATTCCTAAGTATTTAACTTTTTTTTACTATTTGTAATCCCATTATCCTTTCCAATTTTAGTTTTTGTTTTTCTGTTAAATTTTTAGTTATTAATTTCATTTTTTCCCTATTAATTTTAAGTCCTGCAACTTCCCCAAATTGATCTAACTCTTTCAGTAGTTCTTGACCTGTTTCAATTGGTTCCTCTATGAAAAATACCATAACATCCACAAATGACTGGAGTTTATATTCTTCTTTTTTAATTTTTATTCCTGGGTTCTGTCTAATTCATGTAAGCAATGTTTCCAAAGATAATATGAAGAGCAGGGGAGATAATGGACATCCTGCCTGACTCCTTTCTCTATTTTTATTGAGCTTGTGTACTCTCCATTAATTATAATATTCGCCTTTTGTGAATCATAAATTGTAGTCACGATGTTTTCAAGTTTAGTGCCTAAATTCATATTGTAAATTTGTTGGATTAGGAATTGCCAATTTAGATTGTCAAAGGCCTTCTGTGCATCCAAGAATACAAGGGCTATTTATTTTTCTGGGTGGGCTTCGTAGTATTCCAAAACATTTAATACTATTCTTAAATTGTTCCTAATTTGTCTATTAGGAAGAAATCCATTTTGATCTTTATGTATATATTCATTCAATATTTTTATCAATCTATTTGCTATAATTGTAAATATTTTATAATCAGTATTTAACAGGGAAATTGGTCTATAATTTTGTATAAGTTGTAAATCTGAATCTTCTTTCGGAATCAACGATATCAGTCTCCTTCCATGAATCTGGCATTCTTGCTGCTAGTAGGACCTTATTATATACTTCCACTATGAGAGGTCCTATTTGTTCTCCTATTTTCTTATAAAGTTCCCCTGGTATCCCATCGGGTCCTGGGATCTTATTGTTCTTTTGGTTTTCTATTGCTGCTTTTAACTCGGACCACGTAATATCTCTAGTTAACATTTCCTTCATCTCCTCCTTGATTATTTTATCTTTAGTAATACCCAAATAGTTTCTTATCATGTCCTCATTTACCTCCTTCTTTTTATAAAGATCTTCAAAAAATTTACATGCAATTTCTTTTTTCTGTTCTATCCCTTGTTGGGCTGTTCTCATCTATTAATTGGTAGATCAATCTTTTTTGTTTTTCTTTTTTAAGTTTATAGGCCAACCACCTTCCTGGTTTATTGGCCTGTTCAAAAAATATCTGTCTGGCTGTATTCAACTTTGAAACCATTCCTTCTTGTTTGATTAAATTTAATTTATGTTTAGTTATTATCATCTGTTTTTTCAATTTACAATCTTTTGTTTTGGAGCTGAATTTCTAATTCTTTAATTCTTTGTTCTAATTTATTTTGTTGGGCATATTTTTCTTTATTTCTTTTAGCAGTGTATGATATCGTTGTGCCTCTTATTATTGCCTTCATTGTATCCCAAATATTCTGTTTTGTAGTTGCCTCATTATTATTTTCTTTAAAAAAATAGTCTATTTCCTCGTCAAGTTTATTCATAAATTCTTTCTCTTTAATTAGCTGTGTATTTAGGGTCCACCTTTTCCTTGGTTTCTTCCTGCCTTTCTACACTATCTGAATCGGGTTGTGATCTGCCCATTTGTTTGGTAAAATTTCAATCTCTTTTAATTCATTTACTAACACACCATTCATCCACACCATATCAATTCGTGTCCATGATTGGTGAAGGTTGGAGTAAAATGTAAATTACTTTTTCTCGGGGTTTAATTTCCTCCACATGTCTATCAAATTTAGTTCAATCATCATTTCTTCACATGTTTTCGGTAGTTCTCTTTTTTTCTCCTTCCCCAACCCCACTACTGTGATCTTTCTGGTGGTACACAATAGCATTGAAATCCCCCAAGATGCAAATATTCCTTTTATCTAATTCCACTAATTTCCCATGTAATTGTTTAAAAAATTCCTTTTGGTTATCGTTAGGGGCATAAATTACCACTAGTAGAATTGGAATTGATTTAATCCAAATTTATAACACCATAATTCTTCCATTGCATCCAGGTCAACCTGGGGGGCTTATAGTGCTAGATATGGTCTTTTTTAATAGTTAAAAGCAAGATCAATAGACAAAGCAGACCTATCACAGGAGTCTTGAACAATTTTATTTTGGGTTCTGTTTAGCAAGTTAGACTGGAAAGCAAGAGGTGAGTTCAAATTCCACCTTAGCTATGGAAGCCAGCTGAGTAACTTTTGAGAGTGAGTCATTCACTCTCAGCCCAATCCATCATACAGAGTTTGCTATTGAGGGGAATACAGGAGGAGAAATGTAGATTGGGTGTGTTTACTGTCTTGAGCTATTTGTAATAACAAAGGCAGAAAATAAAACAATACAACCAACAGTTAAGCAGACTGTATTTTTTCTATCTCAGCTATTTAA